TTGTGCCCAGATCGGTTGATCAGGAAATTAAGTTCCCGTGCGAAGTCCAGTGGATCTATCGGTGGGAGTCCCCTAATTGGAATGTTGTTGTTGTTGTTGTTGTTGTTGATTTAGTTCGTGGATTTACCCATTGGAAATGGTGGATCTTTCCATAGTTATGTTAGTTTTCCATAGTTATGTTGGAATATACCCTCTGGATCCCTCTGGTAATGACTAACACTTCGCGACGGAAAATGGCCCATAAAAAGTTCGTTGATTTACCTAGTCAAAAGTTCGGTGATTTTCCAGTTCACTATGTTAAACTACGAGAGGGTAGAGTAGTTCATGGTGTTAACACCCACAGAACTGGAGGGCCCGACATTGTACTAACAAGCTACTGGAAAGCCACACCGGACTGAGTTGCCCAAGCGCGAGCTTCTCGTTCTGCCAGTTTTCTCCGACGTTCCTCCCCTGGCAAACCGAACCGCTGGCGTTGAAACCTTCTGGGATGATCTGCGGAGGTGGTACTCCCATCAGAAACCCCTTCCCGAGTATGGGAAGCAAATGTGGGAATGAAAGTCCCATGGGACCGGGGGACCTGGAAAAATTCCATGGACATTTTTTTTATTGACATGCTTGTCTGAATGTTTCCAGAGAATGTGAGTTCATGATCATTGCCAATCGTAGATACCCTTGGACAAACAAACCAATTAGTATAAGTATATGTGATTATCTGTGTTTATCTATCGATCTACCCATCTATATGCATCTAATTATACGTCTAATTATGTATATATATATATATTTATATATGTACTCACCTATCCATCAAACAATCCCAAGGATTCCGTTGTTATTTTTGCCAAAAACACAAGGTGTAGCCCAACTCCACCAGGATCATCGCCTGCTTTGGCAATGGAGCTGGCCCCATCCTCCTCGGAGTCCGAATCAGCTCCGCCCCATTCCTTCTCCACCTGGGATGTTGGGCTGCCTTCCAACAATAAAGTGCTGGTGATAAATACCCGGTCTATTTCTAACTAGATAGATAGATTGATATATCCATGTGTATATATACATATATGTATATATATATGTATATGAATATATATATATATTTATATACACATATTTCTCGCATTCTTGGATGGTGATTTGCTTGTCCAATCGTGATAAGCCCATATTAACCTGATTGGTGCTTGGAGATGCATTATGAACAAAAAACACATAACCAACAACCAGAAAAACAAATCAACATCAGCATGAGTTGACAATGATACACAACCATCAAATTGATGCATCAGCATGGGTTGACTCAAGGATTGGAAGTAATGTGGTTAAGACAATAATAAAAAAAATGGGAATGGTTAATACAATTGTGGTTTGGGGGATGGCTTATTACTAAATGAGTTGACGTGAATCGGTTTACATTCATGGTTCATATCTGTAAGATTCTGTAAGTATTGTCTGGTGGTGTCCCATACGTCTTGTCATCCACAGATTCTGCCTGAGATGCAATGACGTTGGCCAGTTCAAAATGGCACGAAAAACAGGAATGGAAAGCGAAGATCTGTACCCAAGTGTTGCGTGGTGAATTTCGACCCACAAAAACTGAACTCACCATGCTGGTTGTTCGTACGGCAGCGGTGATAACGCGTGGGGTTCCCAAATTTGACCGACTCAGGCGCCAAAAGTTGAGTCAGACCCTACCAAAAACTCCACTTTTGGACGGATAACAGATTGAAAAATAGTAGCGCTAAAGGTAAGCCATCAATCAACCAAACCAAGGTTGATCCAGGGAACATCCCAATTTCTAACAGGTGATTCCTTGATTTTCCTGTGATCGAAGTGGTGAGATACCCCTCAATTCCGTTGGTTATGAACATTTTCTCATTAAAGCAGCGATTTTAGGCATATCTCATCCCATTTTCAGACATACATATAATATCCTATCGTATCCTATCATCATAATATTAGCGTACTAGTTGATAAAACCTTTGTCTCAAATGACACTGCAGGTTCAAACCAGTCGTTGGCCGCATGTTACAAAATATGTTCATGGCTTCAGATTTGACAACAAATATTTTGTTTGGAAGCCGTTTACAAATGTAAGAACTATAGTCATACAATCATACATAATAAATGCATTTCCTTTGCTAGACTAGACTTGTTTGGCTTTTTTCTGCGGTTTGAACATGTTTGAATCCTCATTTCCTGGGGCGGTCTGAAATCATCTATCATCATTTCTCCATGGCTTCAACCACATTTTCTGGTTGGTGGTTGACCTACTCCTCTGCAAAATATGTTCGTCAGTTGGGATGATGACATTCCCATATATCATGGAATTCATAAAATTCCATGGTTCCAGTCACCACCAAACAGTTTTTGATGGAGAATAAAATTCCAGGGTTCCAGTCACCACCAACCAGTTTTTGATGGAGAATAAAATTCCATGGTTCCAGTCACCACCAACCAGATTTAGATGGAGAATAAAATTCCAGGGTTCCAGTCACCACCAACCAGATGGAGAATAAAATTCCATGTTTCCAGTCACCGCAGTCACCACCAAGCAGTTTTTGATGGCTGAATTCTCTCCAAACCCCAAGTGGCCCAAGTCCCACCCGCCTCCACAACATGCACTGGCACCTCTTGCCGATCCCCCGCTTCCGTCGCCGGGTCGAGGCAGCGGCGATTGCGGTTCTGCCGCCAACCTGTGCGCAAGGTGGTGATTTCATGGCGATTTAATGGGATTTATATGGGGATTTATATGGGGATTTGGTTTAAATCCATAGTAATATGGTGATTTAATAAGATTTAATTGGTCTCAATGATATTTCTTGATAATTAGATTTAATGGGAAATAGCAGGGATGGTACCCAGGTCATCAGCACAAAGCACAAATGATATGCGGGATGATTCATACGGCTCAACACCTGGAAACAAAGTTGACCGGTGTCCCGAGATGGAAGGGGTACGTGGTAGCCTTGAATTTCCATTTGACAATCACAGTTGCTGATTTAAGAAGCAGATGGGTCATAACCATCAGATGGAAAAGGAGAACGTGGTCATCCACTGCAAGTAGTCGGGAACATACTTATCACATTGAGGTTGGACAATTTTGATAATTAAGCATGAGCTTGTATTTAAGACATGATTTTTTTTCGGCCCTTTTTGAGACGCACATAGTGTTTAAACAAAAGAACAGATGGCCTGAAAAAATATGGCACATCTACTCTGAGTAGATCCATGGCTCACATCTCAACAGAATCCCGGTTCCACCGGATACTCGGTTCAACTGGTGTCCGGGGTGTCCAGATATGGCCATGAGTCAAAACCCTAGTGCCCTATACCCCCTTATAATAGCTGCTGAATGGATGCTCGCTCCCCAAAGAAATCATCGGTCTTGACCCGTCCCACTGGGATGAAACAGCAAGTAGATTGGCATCAAACATGGCATCAGAAACGATTGCTGCTTGCGCAGCTTGCGCAGCAAACCTGCACCCGTTTTTTTTTCAACGGTCGCACCGGTCGCGATGCTCCGCAGGAAATTCCAAAGGAAAGTTGGTCAAAGTTGATGATGTGATGATCATTGCGAGATTCTGATGGTTGGAAAACATCATAATGTGGTAAATCCAACAATAAACCATCCCTTGTTAACCAGAAGTGATTAGAAACCAACAGAATGCTGACTTTCAACAGATAGGTTTCAGGGAAGATCTAAAGGGAAATTGGCTGGGAATACAACCACCACTTCTTGGGGGTGTCCCATCATCTGACTTTGGGAGACTTAGGAGAAATGGTTGACGTGGTATGATCCCGTAAACGACCTTCCTGTAAACATACAACAAGATGTATGTTTACCCAGCATTTGCAGATCGCTTTCCGAAAGAAACCATAGCTTTTGTCATATCTTTTTGCATGTGAGTTTACCCATGTTTACCCTATGCTATCCCCAAAAAAAGAATGGACATCCCCCTGAATGGGTGGAGGCAATGTGCTGATCTTTCGGGGGCTTGCCCCATGGTTGGGTAGACACACTCCGGACACCGTTCTCACAAAATGTCACCATGACTCAGTCATGCAGGAAGAAGAAAAAAAGATACCAACCTGCAATCATGTCTGACCTTCGCCGATTGAAAACTAAATTCTAGTGTGAAATCAATTTCCTTTTCTCTATCGCCGTCTTGTCAACTATTGTAGTCCCGTGCTCTGTCAAGATTATAGTGCTGCTTAAGCGCGCTGAAGCCGGAGACAGATCGGGCTTGCCTGCTTTGTGATTTCCCACCGAACTAGTTCATGCAATACTAAACTGGTTGGTGGTTTCAACCCCTATGAAAAATATGAAAGTCAGTTGGGATTATTATTCCCAATATATGGAAAAATAAAATTCATATTCCAAACCACCAACCAGATATAGTAACAAATGAATACATATAGTATGAATCATGGTTTAAATTTATGTATTTACACTAAATTGTTGCATCTAGCCTGGTTTAATACGTATTAACTCTGCATGTAGTACAGTTGCTTGTTGTTTCATAGTCAACACACACTGGTAATTTTTCAGATTGCCACGGAAGCCGTTTGGCCGTTTTAGGTCGATGATTTACCGGTGATGTTCCGTAACCATGTTGAATCACCACAGGATAAATCTCCAATTACCCTCTGGTGAACTAACATAGCAATGGAAAATGGCCATAGAAATAGTGGATTTTCCCATGAAAAATGGTGATTTTCCATTGCTATGTTAGTTCACCAGAGGGTAAATCACAACTTTTCTAATGAAAAATGTTCAGCTGTAAAATCACCATTACATGCCAATTTTTACCACATCATCAAACAATTTACCCTCTGGTATTGAATAGGTATATAAATCACCGAACTAAATGGTCCATTTTCCAGTTTGCCATGTTAGTTTACCAGAGGGTAAGACAGTCATCACTTACCTATTGGTTGTTGGGGATGACCAACCAATGGGAAACGGATATTTATGATTGGAGCTGCTGAGTCCTCCCATTTGGATTGGCAGTTTCCCTCCAAACGAAGCTGTCTCCGAGTTCTCGTCTCCGCCGGATCATGGCTGATCCCCAGGCCACCCATCGCCTATGGGTGCACGGTGCGTTGTGTGCTCAAAAAAAAACAACTGCCCCGCTACGAGAGGCCTGGCTTTCCTGGATGGTGGTTTCAACCTACCCCTCTGCAAAATATGGAAGTCAGTTGGGATGATGAAATTCCCAATATATGGGAAATGCATGTTCCAAACCACCAACCAGAGATGGTTTCTGGACAGAAAAAGCGTCACTTTTAGAGAAAAACCATGAAAAACCCATGAATCATGGAAGAAAAAACGTCCAACTGTACTCCTCATGGCCATTGCAAAGTCATGGGATGGGATGGGAAAAATCAGTCACTCGAGTCACGAGAGGTCATGAGAATCGACTATCAGCCCCGCCCGAGCCCCAATGGGATCATCACAATTGGGTATAATATGGTATAGTATCATATAGTGCCCCCCCCCAAAAAAGGGATGTTTAATACAACAACATGGAATAACATCTACGGCCCGAAATGGCCTGAAATTATCATCCATCTGTATATATATATATTATATATATATTATATAATATATATAATATATATATATATACACATCGTCTCAAAAGCGTCCTGGACCAATGGAGGGTGCTGCGAGTGGCAGCAATGATTTCTGGATGGTAGTTTTAAGCAGTCTTAACCTATCCCAACAAAAAGTCGTCATGTCAACCCATCATTCCAAGTCCGGTTGAAGAAAACAAAAACAGAAATAATGTTGGTGAAGCAATAATAAGCTATCCCCAACTTCACCATAAAATGGATGGTACAAACCATTCCCAAATGGCTGGTTTATTGTTGTTTTACCCCCATTACTTGAAACCACCGAGCTTTTTTTCAGGTCATTCACCAGTGATACACCCAGGGCCTTCAGCGCTTTGCAGATCTACTACCTTTGGCAGTTGCTTTTGGTGGAGATGGGTGGGTCATGTCATCAGCCTTAAAAGGTGAGAACCCCCTGGTTACAACCCCGCTAATTAAAAGTTATATTCTCTAGAAATCTGAGTTACACAAGTTATGTGTGTCAAGTCAGATAGGGGTAGGAACCCGAAATTTGTTGATCTTCAGGTCACACAACAGAGACCCTCTCCGCACTGTGTGCGACAGCTCCCAACATCCTGGATCTGGCTGTCATTTACCCTCTGGTAAACTAACATAGCGATGGAAAATCACCATTTTTAATGGGAAAATCCACTATAAATGGCCATTTTCAATAGCCATGTTAAATTACCAGGGTACCTACAGCGGGTAGGGACTGACCATGATCACTACACATGTGAAACCATACCATCGTCTGGATCCCAATGGCAAACGTGTTGAATTACAAAATGGTGCCCGCCATCCGTCTGTTTTGACATCATATCATCCTCTTGGGTTCAAATTGCGCACCACAAAATTTCATGGTTTATCCTCATTTCCCCATCTGCAAACGTCCTGGAACTACGCTAAGATCAACTGAACGAAGCTCCGCTGTGAATGGAAGCAGATTGGAAACGCCTAACTAATGAAATTAATTACTAATTATATGTACGAATTTTCCTCAAGCTTGTCAAGAGGGTGTTTAAATTAGCTCTGACCTATTTCACTAGGCATTTCAAGTGCAACTAGCCAGAGGCTCTTGCAGGGCTTGTGTCGCTTTCGGTCATTTCATTTTTTATTGTTTAGTTTATTTCTTCTCTTTTTGCCAGATATACTTTCTATAGTTATGCCATAGAACAGCTCTTGTCTTGTCGAGTAATATGGCATCCTCGGCCAACACCGGCCCTTAGTATGAGCCAGCAATGCAAAGGGAATATTTTAACTTTGGGGTCTGCTTGGGTTTTATATGTTGGGACGTCAATAGTCATTGAGGATCTGAACAGTTTTTTGGTGGTTCGGCAATACCACGCGTCTGCTTACCCATATTGTTTCTGCAAGCTCGCTTGTAGTATTTTGGCAATGGGGTTTGTACAACTTTTTCAGCAGGGATCAAAGAAAAAGCAACATTGGATTCTACGTTGCACATGCGCTAGTGAAAGCAGAAACTTCCTGGCCAAGGGTTTTATGTGGGGACAGCCAAGGGTAGATAGATAGCGACTGCCAGACTTGTCGGTGGGACGCACGTTTAACTGGTGTAGCTAAACCTGTGGTTATTCGAAATGAGTAACTCAACCCACTGGGTGGTGGGATTCACGTCATCATCATACCTTGTTAAGATTTCAGGAAAGAAAAGCTCGGACTGCAGAATATCCATGTTACCCCCCAAGCTGATCTAAACTTCAGAACCGCATTCATCTGCCATCTGAAATGGGCAATTTTTACCCTGGTAGCCTGGAAGTTTGCTGGTGATATCACCAGCCGTGTCACCGTTTTGGATCAGGTTACAATATGTTAAAATCATGTCCCATAAGACCATGGTGCTGGTGTATTTACCTACATGTGCCCTAAAAGTCACCCAGTTTTGTAGGTAAATATGCCATACATGGAGCAGATGGGTGTTAAGTCACGATTTGTTCACCATTTTTTTCTAAAACCGGTGAAACCCGGTAGTTACCATCTGGTTATGACTCACAGTTCGCCATGAAAAGATCCACCATGCTATTAAGTTCGGTAAAACATCCATTTCTATGGGCCATCTATAACATGGCTATGTAACAAATAACCAGAGGGTACAGTGTGGGGCCCCCTAGATAGCTAAGTTGGTTTATAACTCCAATAACTATGGTTTATAGGTGATATATCTATAGTTAATGGGGTTTAGAAACCAACTTATAACTGGGGGGGCACCACCTTGTAGTAGTTTGGCCCGGTTTTTTTACTGCGCCAAGTATCGGCTTCGCTCCCGGGTCAGGTCGACTTCGCTGGGGCCTTGCTCTGGACCTTGAACCTGCTGGACCCACGGAGTTCTGGGTGAGAAACGCCTAACTAATGTGGGGCCCCCGTGGCCACGAAATCGCTAAGTTGGGGTTCACATAACTCCAATTTCACTATGGTTTATGGTAGATATATCTACCTGGTTGGTGGTTTGGAAAAAATGTTTATAACTCCAATTTCACTATGGTTTATATTGTACTTATAACTGTAGTATTCATGGGGTTTATAAACCAACGTTCACATCACTGGGGGGGGGCCACATTGTAGAGGCTATAGGTGACCCACCAAATGTCCTGACTTTCTTCATCTGACCCAAATCTGCTGAGCTTTGATGCACCAATGATGTATCCTGTATCATCGTTTGTTTGTAAAGGTCAAACTACCCACCTACAACGTTGCGTTGACAATGGCTGACCGACCAAATTAACCCCAACATTCACTCATTTGAATTCATTTGGTATTGTTAATTGAGTTGGTGATTAGCTCTTCAAGAACATAGGTAGATCATCATCCTAGTTTGGGTGGAAACAGCGTGTTGGAAACGGTGATAATTGTGATAATTGGGCAGTACACCCTGTAGCCCTCAGTTGCAGTATGAAAGCCTCCTCCTCTTTGCCGTCAGCCTTTGGAAGGGCCTCGCAAGCTTTGAAATGGATACATGTGAAGCTTTCCGACCAAGCCATCCCTATCATTTCCGAGTCCACTGCGAAAGCCCATGGAAATCACAGCACTTCATTTTTTTTGGATGTTTCGTTCTAGCTCCACATCATCTGCCAAAAAAGTTTGCCCTCTGGTAATTTGTTACATAGCCATTGAAAATGACCATAGAAATAGTGGATTTACCCATTGAAAAGGGTGGATCTTTCCATAGTTATGTTAGTTTACCAGAGGGTGTATATTTTTTCGTGATTTGCTATCGATGTGTTCCTATGGTTTTCCTATGGTTTTCCCATTAAAACACATTAACTCCACATTGACTCCACATGAACTCCCCATTTTTTTCCACATCCCCCCCGGATGCACATTTAGTCGCCTCAGGTGGATAAAACGGATTCATGGCGCTCGCCTGAGCGGCGATACGATAAACAGCTTTTCTTATAGGAGTCAACAGGGCTGTGTACAGTACATATGTAAAAACATATAGTGTATAATAGTATATATATATATACATAGACTATATATATATATATTAAATATATACCGTGTGAATCCAGCTGTACCTTCGAAGTATGACTGGGCTATGATTTGGGGGTTAGCTGTACCTTTTCGGAAAGTATTTGGATCCATTGGTTATATATATATATATAATATGTATTATATAATATATGTATATATATATATATATGTATATAGAGTCAATATTTCTGAAATTGGGGATGCAATTAAATAGATGTCTGTGAATAATCATTATTCTTGTTTTTCTATAATAGATTCATGTATAATATATATATATATATTCATACAATGCCCTAATGCAGTGTATTTCCACTCAGTGGAGTCCTTACCTGAAGGTCTAATCTGGTGAGAATCTGCCAAGAAACTTTCTGAATACTTTCACCAAAAAAAACTCCCAAAACAAAACATATAAGAGTTCATATGCCAGAAGAATGTGATTAGAACATACTACTATCTGCTACTACTAATAAAACATAATAGTACCATAAATACACCATAACTATATTGGTGAATATTATAAAGCATAATTTCCATTCACAAATCCGGACAAGGAAATGAGAGAATCAGCACCCAAACAAGGGCCATCGCCTCTTGGAATCCGCTTGTCCCAGAATTGTGTTTCTGAACCGTATCCCACAGTTGTGTTTCTCACATCACTTGTTTCAGCCTCCGATCATGTGAGATGATTTTAACATGGAAACCATACTTAGCCTCTGGTAAACTAACATAGCTATGGAACATCACCATTTTCAATGGAAAATCCCCTATAAATGGCCATTTTCAATAGCTATGTTAGTTTACCAGAGGGTACTGTATTTAAACACATGGCCATCCGAAGTTCCGAAAATTGACCCGTTGACCCCACAATCGATTGTCGTGTTTCCATGTCATTTTTTTTGTTTGTTTCGAGTCATGGGGTACCCCCAAACCCAGGGATTAATCATGATCAATCATAATATACCATCTGGTTATTTAACATAGCCATGGAAAATCCCTTATAAATGGAGGTATTAATGGGAAAATCATCTATAAATGGGCCATTTTCCATGGCTATGTTACATAACCAGAGGGTATCACAAGCATCACTTTGAGCATTGCCATTTGGAGAGTCTACCCCATGTTCAGGCAAATCCAGATCTTTTCATTACCGATAGTGTTATTTTCCATCGTCTCAAATCATGTGAATTTCATATTGTTGATAGTTCAAGTACAATCCCAATTATTATATGTAATATAGTATGTCCTATAGATTCCGGTCAGAGAAAAAACAAAAATCATCAGCAAATCGATGATTTTTGGACTGTAATCCACCATTTATATCCATTTATATGATTTTCCCATTGAACTTAAACCTCGTCGGCTATATAGTTCGGGGTTTTTCCAGCCAGCCACGTTTGATCACTAGAGGGAACATCCGCTAATTTCCCATTATCATTTATTATCCTATTAATTTTCATATCCCATTCATATCCCATTATCAAGTCATAGTAATCATGATCATCCCATTTATATCCTTACTAAGTATCTGGGTAAATTATCATATTTCGGATGATTCCCCTTACTAACTATGATTTCCAGTGAGGTCGCGGTGAGGTCGTTATAATTTACCCAGAAGTATTATAAAACCACCGTTCCACTACAATCAAACCATGAATTTTAGACCCAAATGGACCGTGTTTCTTCACAAGGTTAATAGTCCCTATGTTCTTTATCATTATAACTATTGCGTATTATATACTTTGAGGATATAAACATAATAATAAATAATAATATATAATAATAATAATCAGAATAATAATAATAAAAATAATATATATATATATTATCACTGTATCCATATTGTATCCTCTACCATATCATGATTGTGAAGTATCATATTCCTCTTAGTTATATTCATATTCAAACCATGTGTCATTTCTCATATCCACATATTGGGCGTCAAAATAGGGTCCAAAAATTGGATGGTTCATACTACTTAATTCACATAAATTCAAGAAGAAAACCTGTGGTCTTACAGGTCTCGAATACTCTTGAGCCATACCCATTTATATATTGCAATGGAAGGATTATGATCAACATTAGCCCGATTTTTTTCATGAGGATTATATGACATTATCCTGGTTGGTGGTATACCTACCCCTCTGAAAAAATATGAGTGATAGTCAGTTGGGATCATTATATATTCCCAATGGAAATTCATAATCCATTCCATGGTTCCAAACCACCAACCAGAACATTGTACCATAGATTATTAACCATCATTAATTTACAATTATTAACCACTATTAACCATAGATCTGGGTAAATTATACAGTGATATTTCACAAACCTGAAATAAGGCTATCTTGGGGATGTTTTTCCATATAATAACCATGATTCCAGTGAGGGAGAACAGTGAGGTCGTTATAATTTACCCAGATACTATTATATATATATATATATGGTTGGTGGTTTTAACCATCATTAACCACTATTAACCACTATTAACCATCAATTATAACTTTTAAACACTACAGTATCAGGATTAACCATAGATCTACCAACCAGATGTACCACCCCACCAACCACTTCCACTGGGCCGCCCGGCGATGACGCTGAAGGGCACCACCCGCAGAAAGCCCGGCACCGAGACGCCGGACACCTCCACCTGGACCGACGGAGGAATGTCCATGGCCAATCAGCCAGAGATCGTTGATGTTTGGTATAGAAACTTCCATTTAGAAAAACTTCGTGGAGTATCATGGGAATGTGCCAGATGTTTCCTATCATTTTCCAATCATCATTTTCCAATCTTTGCTGATACCCTGCAAAAAATGACTAAGATTCTTTGCTGATGAACGTAGATATTCCCATACAAAAAGACTAGTTAGGATTAGTTTGTATCCATCTAAGCTTGACCTAGTTTTTGTCCCATGGAAAAGGCGGAGGTCACCGAGGAAAACCTAGGAAAAGCAATGGGAACATGGTTTATAACTCCAATTTCACTATGGTTTATTGTACTTATAACTTATAACTATAGTTATAGCTAATGGGGTTTATAAACCAACTAACATCACTGGGGGGGCACCACCTTGTAGGAAAAGCCATGGGACAATGATGGACAAATGGTGATTTCACCAAAAAAAATCAGGATTGAGCTTCAATATCGGAGTTATGGCTGATTTTAATTTTAATGATAGTTCACTAACTCATCACTTGGTGAATTCTATAGCTGATTTGGGCGGATATAACGAACTATGCTTAACAAGGTGTAGCCAATGTAGAACTGGGGCGCCTTCACTTTGCACTTTGGGTACTTTCTACATCACAACTGATGTTATTTCTTCATCTCCCTTCCAATACATGTCCCATCTCCTACGAGTAGCTGGTTGGTGGTTTCAGCCCCTCTGAAAAATGATGGAGTTCGTCAGTTGGGATGATGACATTCCCATATATGAAATGGAAGTCATAAAATTCCATGGTTCCAAACCACCAACTAGAAATCGATGTTTTGAGGGGGGAAGAACCCGATCCAATTGGAGCTTTCCTTCCAGTCATGGGGGTCTCCCAGTCATCATCCAGTTGTCATGGATGACCATGATGACCATGAGACCATGAGAGTATTGAACCAACCATACAGACGACTGGGGATCCAAACCATGACTTCAGACCCCCCCCAAGAGGGACCTAGTGTTGGGTTATGTTGGTTATAAGATGTTATAAGATGTTATAAGATGTTGTAAGATGTTATAAGGCTATGTTGGGATACTTCCCCGCATCCTGATCATTCCATGAAATATTAAGGTCACAGGGAGGTCACTCTACCCAGAACTATCCGATCAACTGCTTCACCCAGCGCGACAGAGCGCCTCCTGTTTCGCCGTGTTCACCATTTCCACCACTACTTCGATCTTTTCACCGCTGCTTCTCGAGAGGTAGCCTTGAACAAGCGCCGCTTTAAAACTCCCAAGGCGCAACTGAATCAATGCTGACTTCCGAAGCCACCAAAGGTCAACAGAATCCGAAAGAAAGGTAAACATCTGGCAAAAGAAACACCAGAAAATAGTACTGGCATGTAGCGGTCGATCTTTTTGGGTCTTGCAACATCTTGCAATTCTATAGGCTCTAAACACAAGATTGTCAACAAACTCATGAAAAAAAATATCAATTTGCCGCGAATTTTTGATGTGCCAATGATCAACATTGATCAACCATTTTAAACTCCTTTTTTTGAGCACGGAAAGCGCCCCGCCGACCCAGCCAAGGTACAAATATGTGCATCCGGCTTGATCCATTCTGGAAGTTTCCAATCCCCAGGCACGCTGTTGGCATTCCTTGGCCATCGAGATCCATGGAGAGCAATGTGCGTTACAAGGTGGTGCCCCCCCAGTGATGTGAACGTTGGTTTATAAACCATAGTAACTATAGCTATATCTACCATAAACCAAAGTTATTGCAGTTATGTTCGCCAACTTAGCGATTCCGAGCTGGGGCACCACCTTGTAGAGGTTTCCGAACGTATGGCTACCTCATGGTACCTCCAGTCATCATCCATTTGATTTACGGATTTTCCACTATACACATACATACCCTCTGGTAAACTCACATAACTATAGAAAATCACCATTTTGAATAGGTAAATGAACTATAACTGGGGAATTTTCAATAGCAATCTGTTAGTCATTACCAGAGGGTAAAGAAAAACACAAATGACCAGGGTGGTCTTGCGACCAACCCTCTACTCCTTCACTGTTGGGACTCCTTACCAGTGTAAAGTCCCATTGGCCATGGGAGTTTGATTTTCCCATGTGGCTTCTCGCTCACAGATCATAAACTGGAAGCCAGGGTAGGCAGGTTGTTGGAGGCAACATCCCCACTATATCCCAATATATCCCAATATCCAAACATCTTCACGGCTTCCGAAGTGGCCAATCAAAACTTTGACTTCATGTTCAATCCCAAAGCTGGAATTCAAACAACTTCAATGGCTGAACATGTTGTTTGATAAAATTACTGGTTTATCGTTGTTTTTATCATGAGGGTAGACAAAAAAATACTGGTTTATCTTTTTGTTTTTATCATATTTTTATCTACCCTCCAGTAATCATTGCCATGGCTGGCTGGAACATCCCGGTTGTAATCGTTTGATGATCGAGTGAAAACGGGGAGATTTGTTCCAGCTGGCGCCATGGCATTTTTATGACACCACAGGGTAAATCCAACAATATTCCCCATATGCTCCATGTATGGTATATTTACCTACATTTGCCCTAAAAGTCACCCAAATGTAGGTAAATATACCATACATGGAGCAGATGGGTTCTATGATTATTCCATGATTGTCTCTATAAAACGATAGAAAAAAACATATATATTGAACTACCATGAAAAACTTCCATTTTCCAATGATTATCCCATCACTATCCCAATGATAATTCCAATGATTATCGCACTTATCAATCCCAATCATTATCACAATTATTTAATTATCAACCCTAGATACCCTCTGGTAATTTAACATAGCTATTGAAAAGGACCATTTATAGTGGATTTTCCCATGAAAAATGGTGATTTTCCATAGTTATGTTAGTTTACCAGAGGGTATCCCTATCAAGTCGTTGGTTAAGCCCATTATTGTCCCATACATCTTACAGGACACCATCTGGGAGCCCCTGGCGCGTTCGGCGCTCCAGACGGGCGATGCGCATTGATGCCTGAAAAAAGGAACATTTCGCCATGGCTGGAGAGACACATCTGGACGTAAAAAGATGGCACAACATGGAAAATCTAATGATATATATATATATATAGATTGGTATATCATAATGATTATGTTCCATTATCTAATAATTATATTGGAAAATCGTATAGATAAGATGGCACAACATAGAACAATATAAGGATATCTAATATATATATATATATAATACGATTGATAGAATGGACACTTGTGCCATTATATCATTATATAATAATATATTCCCTTATGTTCCATCCTGAATATCCTAAAATGATAATTTAATAGGAAAATCATGGAACATATCATGATATAATGGTGAAATAGAGATGTAATGAGTCAATGTAATTGTGATTTCATCATCAAATATGGGGATGGTAAGTTAATTTTAAGTAACAAAAAAGGCGGTATGAGTGACATAATGGGAATATGAGGATATAGTGGGGATATAAGGCTGGTGCCCGCGTGGAAACTGCATTAAACACATGAAACACAGAAAACAAGCAACAAACACAGGGACGGTCAGCTGCAAAAATTCAGTGAATCACAGTGTACCCTCTGGTAATTTAACATACACCGGGGTAAAAGTAACTGGCGCAGAAAACACTTTTGAGGGCCACTTAATAGATGGCGCGGACACCGGTATTTGGAACAGACGAAATCTGAGAAAATAACCGAATCTGCCCCAGTGAAAGTAGATGGCGCAACCCTCTGGTGTTGCGCCATCTACTTATGCCAGATTCCACATAAATGTGCAAATTATGTGGCTGAAATTGGATGAAATTTGTGGAGTAGACTCTGCGCCATGTTTTCCTTCCTTTTCCCCGGCAGTCTGTTGGTTCTGTCATCCATTCACGGATCCATATACTGTATAGTACCATATGCAGTAGTACGCTTCGTGCACTTGAAAGTATTGAAAGGCATCTGGCTGACTGCATTGTCGAAACAGAACTGTAAACTGTAAATTGTCAGTTGCGAAAATTCCACAGATTCAACATGTTTGACCAAAGACTAAATATGTATTTGTCTGTGTTGCATGATCTGGTGGAATATGCGCATGATTTTTGTGGGAGAGGGCGCTCACATGAATACACCAGTGACATGTGAGTTGCGCCATCTATCTGGCTGCAATATGGGGAGGTTCCCCGTGTGCTTCTGGAGTTGCGCCATCTATGGCAGTGGCAAGCATAACCAAACTGCACACACCCCGGTCGCGAAAACTCCACAGATTCAACCATGTTCGCCGAATACTAAATATGTATTCGCGGTTTTGCGTGGGAAAAAGATGGCTCAGGTACGCACGCTATATTAATGCGAGTTGCGCCATGTATGTTGGCCCCCCGGGGGGCCAAAGTACATGGCGCAACTAGTGTATTCTGCGCCACTTACTTTCACCCCGGAGTAGCTATTGAAAATGGTGATTTAGTTCGTGGATTTACCAATGGTGGATCTTTCCATAGTTCTGTTATTTTACCAGAGGTAAACCTCCATTTTCCTATGGTTTTCTTATGGTTTCCTATGGGTTTCCTACGGTTCTCCCATTAAAACACGTGGTCCTTTTTCCGGCTGAAGTCGCTCAGCGGACCCAGGATGGGATTTGACCGCAAACATCTACAGTATATATAGTTACATCATTTTGATGATTGTGAATAGGCTATCTGATTCTATACCCCATAAGATCCATGGTGCTGGTATGCTAACATGACTGGGGTATATTGATGGGATCCATGGAGCACCATATATAGCATACATGGATCCTATGGGTACTATGATGTTAAACAAAAATATGATTCTATATGATGTAAAACAAAACATGTTTGATCATGTCAAATCATGAAAAAACTCAGAAACTTGAAACCATCAAGAAACAACCATGGGATCTTCAAATCAAAAGAAACATAAAGAAACCGAACAATCTTGACATCATCAAAAATCAAAAAAAAACTGGACACTCCACCATCTCTCCGATGATTGGGATCTTCGTTCCGCAACGCGCACCTTGTGTGGAAGCAATGCGCGCGCCGCGGCCCATGAGCACAGCTGTCAGGTTCAGAGAGGCGGGCTTGTGTCCCTGGCGTTTTTGTGGAGAGTTCGTCGTGAAGCATGATGAAACCTGGTGGTTTTTAGCGATCAACATGATGAACAACTCTAGGATTTAGATGGATTTTAGTTTTTTAAACATGGTGAACAAGTGGGATTTAGCGTTGTGATCTCACTAGTAAGAACGGACATTGATTTGTCCAAACATGGGCTATGATGATGAACTACACAATGTCTAACAACATGATAACCCACGATATTACAATTTAACTGGGAACAATGATGATCTATGGGACTATTGGGCTGCCCTGTACGATTCCCAAGATCTGAAGCTGGCGGTTTCCAGCACCAATCGGTTTTTCCTTGCCATGCTCGGAACATCAAAAAAGTATTTATTTTTTGGATACGCCATGAATAGCATATAATATTCATCTTTCCCCGGCGTAAAGTCAACTCATAAATTCCCAATGTTTGATTGTCAACGTCAAGCCATGTCAACGTCAAGCCCCTTTCGAAGCCCACCTCGGAGGTGTCTGGAGGAAGATCGCCAGCATTCCTGGACCGAAACGTCCAGTGGAATCATGGGATTCCATCATGGTGTTCACGATGATTTGTTCATGGAAAGTCACTGGAGAAATAAATCATATATATATTTCTTTTCCCCACCTGCCAGGTGGGGTTGTTAGATTTTATCACAGCTGTTCCGGCTCCTCCTCCTTCTTCTCCTCCTCGTCCTCCTTCTCCTCCACCACCTCTGCCGATCCACTTCCACGTCCACTTCTGCCTTGCCAACTCTTCGCTCTTCGCCAACTTCCGCGCGCAGTGGGCACTGCTGGACCTCAACTGCCGGCTTCCGATCTGAGTGGGCACGGCTGGACCTCAACCGCAAGGTTCTGAGCGCAGTGGGCACCGCTGGACCTCAACCAGGGACCTTCCGAGCCCAGTGGGCACCGCTGGGCCTCAACCTGGGACCTTCCGAGCTCAGTGGGCACCGCTGGACCTCAGCGGCCAGATGGAATGCCAGAATATATGCCAGAAAGACTGCCAGAATATATGCCAGATAGACTGCCAGAATATATGCCACATAGAATGCCACATAGAATGCCAAAATATATGCGAGAAAGAATGCCACATAGAATATATGCCAGATAGAACGCCAAAATATATACGAGATAAAATGCTGGAAGATATGCCAGATAGAATATCAGAATAGATGTCAGATAGAATGTTAGGTAAAATTTCAAAAATATATGACATAATATATGACTTGAAATGCCAGGGTGGGATCACTCGAAGTAAAGTATTTTTTTCTATTGCGGTGTTGTATAACTATAAGGATAAGTATACTATAGTATACCAATACTATGTTACTGGTTGGTGGTATACCTACCCCTCTGAAAAATATGACTTCGTCAGTTGGGATGATGACATTCCCAACTGAATGGAAAGTCATAAAATTCGTGTTCCAAACCACCAATACTATGTTAATATGTTGATACTTATATTAATGCTTTTTGTTCAACTATACTTCTACTAACCTATAGTTGTTTCAATGGATTTTCCAGCCACATCTTAGACTTTTGTGCTTCTCGGGCATGGAGTCCCTAGACCTCTGTTGGAAGGCTGATCCAACCGCTGTAGGCAACGCTTTTACAGCGGTCCAACCACCATCATAAACGGGGCTTTCCAGAAACGGTTGGTTTATGGTTTATGATACTTATAACATCTTATAAACTCTATATAGTCAATGGGGTTGATAAACCAACCTGAAGATATTTGGGGGTTTCCATAAATGGGGGATCCCCAATAGCTGGTTGGTTTATAATGAAAAATCCTGATACCCCCATTCGATGAAACCTCCATCCGGAACCTAATGGTGATATCATTCAAACATCAACGGAACATCTTCCGAGGAATGACTAAATGGGGATGGGTCAAAACCCTGGTACCCCTAGTGAACCCCAAGTCATAGCTGGGTTAAAATGGATGTTCATCCCACTAAAAATGGTATTATAATAGGTATTGACCCATACCCAAATCAAATTGGGCCAGAGCCTGCGAGTCGCGAAACATGATGTATCCCATTCAATCCACTGCTTCAGATTCTCCTAATGATTGATGTTTGATGTTTGGTTTGTAACTACAATAACTGTTGGATGTATGGATCTATGAAACTTACCCTCTGGTAATTTGTTACATAGCTATTGAAAATGGCTATTTATAGTGGATTTTCCCATTAAAAATGGTGATTTTCCATAGTTATGTTAGTTTACCAGAGGGTATATATCTATATAACATGAAAATTGCCATTTCTGGATACCCCACTAAAATTGTTTCACCCCAAAAGCTGACCACTTTTGCATATCCGATTCTGGGCCATTGCTACCCCAACTTTTTGTGAATCCAAGTATTTTTTGAAGGGCCTCTTACATCTCCAATGGAAGTTGGAATAGCCTTTGGTAGAGAAACTACGTTTGTTTGTGATGGAATTTCCCCTATTTTATCATTGGTAGATGATATCGGTTTGTCTGAAGATTATGGACAAACTAAATCCGATGTTTAATCACAATTTTCCCTATGAAGATACAGTATCCCATTATCAGACTTTGATCTTTGGATAGTGGGATCATTGGAAGCGCTCTTGGTAGTTCCTGGTATGTTTTTCGATCTGACCCAACCGTGTAGCCCAATACCCAATAGCAAACAGTAACCCCAAGTTGGTATGCTTCGCAATTGTTCGACAGTTCCTGATGTAATGAGATTATATTCTATTCTATGATTCATCGTTCGTCTAATGTGTCCAAACCGTAATAACCCCCAAAACATGGCTTCAAGAAAAGTATGTTGGGTTTGTGTATACAAGGTACACCACAAAATCTCCCAACATCCGATGGCTAATCATCACGTTCTCTATGTTGGCATGGCCATAACTAAGGGGAATGAATCCCTGTAAATCCCCTGATGTTTGGATATTCACATGGCCATAACTAAGTTCAACTAGGGGGGTAAATCATGGTAAATCCCTCCATCATGGATTCACAATGGCATCCTTCCTCCACCCCAAATCACCTGCTAATTGATCCGGGGTTGCCACCCGCCGATCTCCTGCGGAAATCTAAAAACTTGGAAGATGGTAGATGGGCCAAACAGATGGGGGCTTCCAGCCAGTCATGTCGGGGTACCTCCAGTCATCATCCAGCTATTGATGTCGGAGTTTCCATGTTTTTCCAGCTATGACTGGGTCTTCCCATGGCTTTGGGTCCACCTCCAGAAAAAGATGTGCCAAATCCCATGCCATCTTGCAAATCACTCAAATACAGATGATCATGCCTATCATTGTATATATATATATATATACCCTCTGGTTATGACTAACATAGCCATGGAAAATCACCAATTTTAATAGGTAAAATTTCTATTTCTATGGGCCATCTATACCATGGCAATGTTAAATAACCAGAGGGTAGCGTACAAACACATAACATATTACTTTTTTTAATCCTATATGAAGGTAAAACACCATCCATAAACAGGGTGAACTCAAAGTAATCCAGGCTGCCAGGATGACCCAATTTTCTGGAGATGGTTTCTTGAAAAAAAAAAACATACACTTCCCACACTTCCCATAGATTTCCCATAATAAGTTTCTTCCACATGTTCTGTTGAATCCCAAAATGAGGGGTTTCTTCTTGTGCTGACTCGAACTTTCTCATCTTCCATCACCCTCTCACGTCAAGCGTCATCGTCCTGCTGCTGCCACCACCGCCCCAAGGCATCTCGCACAAAGCACCGCAATCCCGGCGGCTTCAGCGAGACGAATGGACCTGCCTAGGGTCAGAATGTACGACTGAACCTGGTGTTCTGTTGGTTTTCTGTCGGCTTTCTGCTTGTTTTCTGTTGGTTTTCTGCTGTTCTGGCCCCAATTCGTACTCGAGCTGGCCGCGCCCGTTTTTTTCAGCTCTCTGTCTGATGAGCCCTTGGAATCCCTTGAAATCATGCGTGAAAAAAGTAGAAAAAACTGATACCAAAATTGGGTTCAAGTCATTGAGACCCTTGGAGACCACAAATGAACATGACCAGATGTTTCTTGTGGAGCAATAGTCACTATCGTCAATATCCCATTCTTAAGTCCAACAATCTTTGCCCATTCATATTATATGAAGCTTATCTCCAACTGCTTCTCCTAGTGAACAGCCCCCGCCGCAAGCTACAGCCCAAAGTCCAGGCAGCAGTTTTTCTTGCGTGGTGATGTGACGTGTCTGATGTGCATACTCAGATAAAAAGGATGTTCCATATTCTTCCGTGATGTGGGGCCCTCCTGGTATTCTTCTTGGTTTATAAACCACATGACCTGTATATCTGGGTGCCCACCGCCAGGAAAATTCTTCGATTCGGAAAATCCCATGGAGATCCATAGATTTCGGTGCCCGCTAAACAGCGGCCGGAATCGCGACAAGTTGGGGAAGATAACTCCAGTAACTCTCGGGTTTATGGTAGATACTACAGTAATGTGGATATTTTCATGAAACTAGTAATGAAACTAGTATTGATATAGTAACCATATATAACAATAATATGGATACTACAGTATTGATATACCCAGTGCCATTATAGTAATGAAACTATAGTTACTATATGGTTGATAAATGTTGATAAACCAACAGTTGAGATGTCGTAAACCAACAATGCCAGAAACCACATGCTCATGGGGATCTAATGTGGTGATATAATGGGGATAGAATCAATTCACTGGGACATAGCACAAGGCTATCTCCCGTAGCTTGCGGGGACAGTTAGAATTCATCAAGTAGAGGTATGCCGATAAACCGCAGATTCGGAATGGTCTATTTATCAAAACCCTGCGAAGGTCTTCACATCAAAATCACATCAAGATACCTGGTGCTCATGGCTGTTCAACCCCCATCCACATGGGACAAGTGTGACATGTTGACCCTTGCCTTATCTGTTTTTGTTCACTCCTCTGAAGTCATTGCTGACCGGTACCAAACCACCACATGAAACCACTCCAAAGGGTTCCAATCCAATGACATTGTGGAAGACCACACTGTGGAAGACCCAAAATCTCTCAAAAAAAAGATCATCACATGCAGTTTTGTTTCTCAGTCTAAACAGAATCATGGGCAATGTTGCACGACTCTTTCCACTTATTAGGAGTTTGATTGCATGTCTTATAGGTTTTAGGGGATGTCACTTCGAAAGATTCGTGTATAGTTGATGCCATCTCTAACTACTTCTGTGCAACAGTGCAACTACTTACTTTTGTGGCCATAAATTCAGGCCTAAATCATCTAAATATGCAACTACTTTTCTGCGACTACTACTTACCATTGTGACCATTAGAAAAATCCGCATTTTGAGGCGTAAATCATGCTAAATCCATGATTTTTTGTTGGTTCTTTACATTGCCAATCTTTGTTACCCTGCAAAAAATGACAAATTCTTTGCTGATTAGTAGGTAGATATTCCCATTGATACCAAAAGACTAGTTAGGATTAAAGTATAAAGATTGACCTAGTCATTTTCCCATGTTTTTCCCATGATTTTACCATGGTTTTCCCATGATTTCCCCATGATTGACCTAGATTTACCCCCCACTTAAGTCACCAGCCGGCTGGTTGAAGCATCTTAGCCTCGCCTCCCATCTCGGATGAGGACGAGTCTGAGGACCTCAGGGGCTGCGACCCTGTGGCGTTTTTTGTCCGTCCTGGGACCGTACGGCGACCACGGAAAGACCACGGTGAAAAACATAGGGATTTAACGGTTTGAACATGTTTGAACCACCCATCCTTAGGATTTAACATGATTTAACTCACCAGTGAGTAGTCCAACAAGCACATTGCTGCGTTTTTTCTAAACATGATTTAACTGACACGAAAAAAATGTGGAACAAGCACATATGAATAAGTTAAAACAAGATTTAACTAACCGACTAACCAGTGAATAATGGAACTGAACTTACTCTTTTTTTGAACGGGACTTAAGTGATTGTCAAATGGGGACTAAAGCAAGACAGAGCAACCACAATCGTGATGATATAGTGGTATCTTATGTGGGGCCAACACACGTTGATCAATTCAAGTCGACCAATGTGGTAAACCATGCTAAACCCAATTTCATCTTAAACCACCCCCCAAACTCACCAGAAATGGGTGGGAATTGAACGCATTTTTTTCAACTATCTCCTTTTTCGGAGGTTTGTTTTTGGGTTTGCCAGAGTTATCATACCCAAAATCTGAATAAACACGTTCGTGTTAATGTTCTTGTTTTAAATCTAAACATCAACTTGAAACCTCTGACATTGGCCGGTGATGTTGGTAATATTGTGCTATCCATATATTCTTGATCATCTCCAGCTTACGAGGCGCATCATGGGTGCTGGAAGCCAGGTTCAAATCCCATTTTCATATCCTCAATGTGTCAAGAAACATCAGCTTTGATTCAGAAGACTACAAGGTGAGGTCCCCAATGTGTCGATTTTAGTTCCTGTAGCTAAGTTCACGCACCTTTTTTTTGGTGAATTCTATGGTTGACTAGGAGTATACCCGGTAAACTAACAGTTCGATGTCGAACATTAAAATCCATCATTTGTAGTTCATTTTCCGAGTGTCTTTCCCCATGGCTTTTCCACATCTAGTCCCGTTGACCCTCGGGTAACTCCCCATCGAAATCCCCATCGAAATTCCCAGAAACTTGTCACTCAAATCAGCTCCCATAAAGTCAAATGACAGTGTCTCAAAACCTTGTAGCCCTGTAGTTCACATCAAAATAGCTGGGTTAAAATGGATGTGAATAACCCCCTAAAAATGGTATTTTCATAGGTATTGATCCATACCCAAATTAACTCCCATTCACTCAAATTAATTCCCATGAACATCCATTCTAATCCATAGCCATGGCATCACCTGGAGAGCTCCGCGTGGCGGCATCCCGGCATTGGGATGTCCCACAAGTCGCAGCCACCGCACCATTCCTTTTCGGCTTCAACCACCGCGACCTGATTTCGGCATTTCCACAGCCACCCCATCCCATGTCCACAACAATCCCTGGTGGTGCAATGGGCCCATCTTGAAACATATGAGTTCGCCAATGGGAAGGATGACATCCCATAATATGAAATGGACAAATAAAAAATCTTCCAAACCACCAACCAGATCCAATTGAAATTGGAATTTCACCCGCGAGAATTGGACTCTGCTCCCAAGAAACTCAAGAAACTGGAAAATTCAAACGACAACAGTAGACACGTTGCATAGAAATACGGATTTCAAGAACCACATACTTGCTGTTTAAACAACACATTGGTCGGAATAGACTAAATGCCTTGGACAACTTGATAATTCTGCATCCAAGTGTTTCATTAAGTCACCAACAAAATTATCTTCCCAATTTTGTTTCCGTTTGAAAAAACACCATCAAGTTACAGGTTAACATCTGGATGTGCGTCCAAAAGCGCTGCGCTTTCTGTCAACTTACGTAAAAAGAACTGATATATGCATGTAGTTGCTCTGGAGTGGATCTTATATAGTCCTTTACTGCTTGGTGGTTTCAGACCCTCTGAAAAACATGAGTTCGTCAGTTGGGATGATGACATTCCCAATATATCCCTAAGGATCCATGTATGGAATATTTACCTACATTGGGATTATTTTTAATTGCATACATGGGGTCAATGTAGGTAAATATTCCAGCACCATGGATCCTATGATATCCTATGGGTATGGAAAGTCATAAAATTCCATGGTTCCAGTCACCACCAACCAGTCATCATAAGCCCATTAAACCACCATTAAACCACCATTTTCCCTATATTTTTACATGTTCCAGTCACCACCAACCAGGAAAATTCATCTTCTGGAAGAATGGTCGAAACTGATTCAGGTCATCTCCACCGAATCCCCAGATTTGATCAAACTTCAAGGAATCTCAGGGAGACTGCAGATTTCTCCGAACATAAGGTATCCCCAGAATTCTAATAGGTTGTCCTAATTCACCCATGAAGAAATACAGTTTCGGTGGGAGATCAGATTTGTTGGGACCAACCCACTAAGCTCTTTCTCCTGTTTGATTTCGGCTCCGTTCTTTGTCACCGGCATTGCCTATGTACAGGATCTGCGCCCAGACCATTCGCCAGCTGGCAAAAACTGCCCTTCGCCCATTTCCGTGTTTTGGGCCGTGTGAAATTATGGCTACCTCCAAGCAAAGAAGTATGAACCATCGTGAATTGGGTGCTATCAACCAAAAAAAAATACATTACAGTCAATCTAGTCTATAGTGGATATCTAAAGTAATGAATTTGTAAATTGATTGGGGGAGATTGTTGTTACATATAAAACATGATTTGGTAAAGCCAAGGATAAGTTTCCAAAGGGATCAATGATACCTTTGTCATATCAACATCTGAACAAAAACATTGATGTCAATGGAGGTGTTCATCATCCCAAATAAGATCAACTTCTGAAACCTTTCACGCTCTGATGCTGGATCTCACCAATGATATTCTGGTTGGTGGTTGACCTACCCCTCTGAAAAATATGAAAGTCAGTTGGGATGATTATTCAATATATATATATATACATAGAAAAATTAAATTCATGTCCCAAACCACCAACCAGATATTCTATTATCCTCAGCTCAGATCTTCGAGCTACTCTCCCGAAAAAATTGACATGGAACCTGACCATCGAGTTTCCCAGAGATGTATCTTGTGCCGTGTGTGGCTGTGACTTTGACTTTGAGGTCGTGCAACTTCAATCCTTTTTGTAAAAAGGTTGCATGTCTTTAGCCACTGTCATGTTCTTGCTTGGAATATCAACCCACATGTAAGATATCCCATGAACAAAAAGAGACACCTAAGATCATGTAAGATATGCAGCTGTTTGAGGTTGCACATTTCATGTGAACATATGGGCCTTTCCAAAATAGGCTACAGTACCCCATTCCATCCATAGGTCTCATTTGAATGCCATAACCCCACTATCAGATGCACCAAAATATCCATTGGTCATTGGTCAAATAAACCATTTTTGCTGCTTAAACAACTGTTTATGATGGATACCCTCTGGTAAAGTAACATAGTTATTGAAAATGGCCATAGAAATAGTGAGTTTTCCCATGAAAAATAATGATTTTCCATAGTTATGTTAGTTTACCAGAGGGTATGTCTGATATGTCCATAGGATGGGTTTATAAACCAACAAACGCCTGATAAAGGGGGTACCACGATATTCATAGGTGAAACCCCTATATGGTTCAACCATGTAAGACCCCATGTTTGATATTGTGTGATTGCAAATCCACCATTTTCAGATACACCCATAAAGGATGCTGCCCCCCCCCGAGTGATGTTTGTTGGTTTATAAACCCCATTAAATAGTTCGTTATATCTACCATAAGCCATAGAATTCAGCCACCTATAAGGCAACTGAACGCTATCCCCATCCTGTATCATAAGATATCCCTCTTGGCTTTTCCAGTCAGCCAATGGTCGGAAAACGCGGCTCACATTCTTCGTGGCTCAGGGAAGGTCATCGACCACAATTTCCTGTCGTCGTCGGGGTACAATCCATAACCATAAACAAGTAGGACATTCAGGAAGCTACATCCAAAAAATCCATCCGTCCAATCAGCACTTTTTGCTCCTGAAAATACTGAAAACATAGCCAAATCTGATCAGAAATCTTCTCTGAAACTTATGATAATCTCCGAATCATAAATCTATATCTTCTCATATATCATATATATATATATATTTATTTATAAATATTTCTGCCTTAAAGATCATCAAAAACAGAGAAAGTGCCCCGAAACGTCAGTGCCGTGGCCTCTTCTTCCTTCTCAGGCTCTGGGGTAGCCGATCCTTCGGGGGGTTTGGCACTTTTCAGCGCCACCCGCGAGGCGAGGGACTCCTTCCTGGAGACCCAGAGAGCTGCAGACCCGGGGGACCCTGGGCATGAAAAATGAATGGTGAACTCATCAACTAAGTAAAGAAAGATATGGGGTTTATAAAACAATCTGAAGATATGGGGTTTATAATATGGAGTTTATGGGGGTTTATAATAGTTTTAATATGGTTTATGATACTTATAAGATCTTGTAGCTATATAGTCAATGTTTTTTTTTTAATAAACCAACCTGAAGATTTCATATGTTTTCCATAAAAACATGATAACATGGGGGTACCCGGAAAGCTGGTTTAGAATGGAACATTCTGTTAAATTTGGATGATTTGGGGGTACCCCCATGACTTAGGAAACCTCCACATGGTGAGCTAAAAAAAACAACATAACATGTTTACCCGTCGATTTTTTAAACCCACAAATTTGTGATTTCATGTTACAAGGTGGGAAAAAAACTGGATGACAAAGTCGATAAAGTCGATAATTATTATTCCAATAGCCAATAACTAAAGGTTATAGTTATAGGGTTATTGCAATTCTAACTGGTCATTTGTCATAGTTGTATATATCCCCATGACATTGGAATTTACTGCAATTTTCCCAAACTCATCTCATGTGCTTTTGCCACATCACTATGGAAAATCACCTTGTTTAGGCAAATCATCGAACTCTTCATGGGCCATGGTGCAACCCCTCTGAAACATGATGGAGTGAAAGTCACTTGGGATGATGACATTCCCAACTGAATGGAACGTCATTTTAAAAAAACATGTTCCAAACGACCAACCAGTTATGACATCTTACAACATGTTACTATCATTAACCCGTTATACCCCATTAAGCAGTGTTCAAAAACCTGTGTCGTCCCTGTATACCATCTGGTTGAGAATGGGATTCCGCGTTCATTGGATTGTGATAATTCCAAATATATTGGTGATTATTGGTGAGTATAATGCCATATATAACAGTTATATAACATATATATATATAATATTATATAATCATCAACCAACCGGGGTTTTGAACACTGCTCAAATACTTGGATTTGCGGAACTAAAAGAAAACACTGAACTGCTCTAAATCGATTTCCCTAATGGTGTAGTTCCCATTGGGGAAGTAACACGAATCACGTTTAACAAAACGTATTGTTAGATTACCAAAGGGTATGACCATCCATCTATCATCATCTATGAAATGGATAATTAATTGATATTCACATGGTGGTTTCCTAAAATAGGGATACCCCAAATTTATCCAAGTCATTAAACGTTTTAGTATTGTTGAAACCTATGGTGACTTGGAGATCCCCCATTTTAGGAAACCTCCATATCTACCATAAATCAAAGATATTGGAGTGATGTTCACCAACCTAGCTATCTAAATTCTATTGGAAACGCCATTAAAACACGATAAAAAATATGACTCCCATGGTCCCATGGTTCCAGCTCCCAAGTTTGCCAGCACCGAGAGTCATCGACTTGGGAGTTACGTCCAGAAGCTCCTTGGAGACTATCCTCAGAGCCGCCCAGACCGCCTCAGTCCTGGCTGACCCCAAATCAGAGAGCTATGGCTGGATCCATAGGGCATAAACCAATTGGAAAAACGAAGAACATGATGGGGTGAGCCAAAAAAAGATGAGGATTTTCTTAGTGATTTCCGCGTGTTTTTACTGATTGAAGCATCAATAAGGATTCATTATTTGAAAACATCCCAACTGGATGGACAAAGGGCTATCGCATATCTGGAAATGAAGCATATCATCATTGAACATTAGTGATCAAAAACAGCATGGACGAATAAACAAAATCTCTGGAAATATTCATTCATGGCATAAGAATCAAGCAATGACACTGTTTCTTGAAACCGCATCTTAAACACTTATTGAATGACTAGCTGACTAGCTATATCTGGCTATGGTTCAACTATGATCAACTTATTGTCTAAAATCCATGATTTACAACGTGTAAGCCAGAAATATCACCGGATAAAATAAAAAAACATGTCCCTACCTGGTCGGACACAGTTCCAGTTTCAGTTTCAATGCCGTAGGCTATACTTATCTGGTTGGTGGTTTCAACCCCTCTGAAAAATATGAAAGTCAATGGGAAGGATTATCCCATATATTGTGGAAAATATAATAATAAAAAAATGTTCCAAAAAAACAACCAGTTATGGGTTGCATTACGCATGTTTTTTGCATGTCCATTCCTTACAAAATCGAATTTGCCTGTCAAATTTAAGCCAACCAAGGTTCTTGCTGAGCTGCATAGCGTCGCAACATGTTCAACAAAAAAACATCTCGAAAAATGAAAACATGCAATCAGTATGGTTCCACCAATCAATCCTTACTAAACTCTATATATTGCTGATGTATTCCCAGATTTTTTGTTTTATCATGGTGAATCTTAGATAGCTGCCAACAAAAAAAACTAATTTTCAGCTGGCGAATGGGCGCATTTTACCATTCATAGCAACAGATTTGGCATAAGTTCTACTAGTTGGCATCTAACATCATCTAACCAGTTGGTCGACCCAGCAGAAATCTCCCGCGGGATCCCAGCACCGTGCCTGGCTTGTGGTTGTTCTGCCACCTTTACCAGGATGTCCTAAGGGGGGTTTTCGTTGCTCCGCTGTCCCGAGGCGGAAGGCATCGAAAAAGTCATCTGAAGCTGATCTACTGGATCTGCTTGATTTGAACAATCAATTGGATAGTAGCTATAGCAGATTGGATTTCATCAATCTATAGCTACTATATGCTACTATCTATTGGATGATCCTCAAGTCATCTATAGATTGAGGATGAGATCGAGAGGAACACATAGAGATCATCCGTTAAACCACTGATGTAGGGTTATCACTGATTATGATCGTTGAGGATGATCCTCAACCACGTGAACCACGAACTATAGAGGAAAACAATTCGAACACATTTAAGATATATTAAGATACTATTCGAAACCATGAATCAGTGAAGAAATATATATACGTATAGACACCGCCATCAACTAGCAATTCACATTTATCTCCATTTGGAATTTGCAAACATTCAATGTAAAATAAATGTATTTTCAAAGGATATCGATTTCAGGACGACGATTTCATTCTGTATTATGATGAAAGGCTGCAAGCAAGCCATGGCTTGCTTGCAATGAAGTGCGAAGATCAAGCCATTCAACCCGGTCAGGGATCAAACAATATTGCCGTGGGGATCAAAAAATAAATATTTAAGGTTAAAAAAAAATCCCCTGGAAACCGTTGATGTTTATGGCCCTTGCAACAGTTTGGAGACAAAACCGAGCATTTCTGTGATATTTGCATCGTTTTGGAAGTGGAGCCTCTCGCCTGTAAGGTTTTTGCAGGACATTGGACCTAGAAATCGAGCATTCCCAGGGCTCGACGCTGCCGTTTCGACAGCACCTGCAACACTTTGGAGTTCGAATTTTTGATTTTCGATGGTTGCTTTGAAACTTACGTTGGTTTAAAGTTTGTTTATGTTTGGTTTAGGGTTGATTTTTGCTTGGTTTGATGCCTACTAGGTTGACTTAGGTTGGTTTAGGGTTAGTTTAGGGTTGGCCTATGGTTTGCTAGGTGTCTATTCAGGGTTGGTAAAAGGTTTATTTAGGTTTAGTTCAAATATTATTCAAAGTTATTAATTTGTTTTTGGTGTTTCTGTAGGGTTGGTTTAGGGTTCATTTTGACTTCGTTCAAGACTTTGTGGTTTTGGTTTCGTTTGGGATCTATTGAGCGTTGGTTGTTTGTTGATTTAGGTTTGGTTTAGGATTTGTTTAGGGTATATTTAGGGTTGGTTTTAGGGTTTGTTTAGGGTTGGTATTAAGATTTGCGTAGGTGCTGCTGAAAGTTTATTTAGGGTTGATTCAGGATGTATTTGGGATTGGTTCGTGGTTGGTTTAGGTGTTGTTTAGGGTTGGTTCAGGGTTTCTTTACGGTTGGCTTAGGGGTTATTTGGGGTTTGTTTAAAGTCTGTCTATGTAGGTCTTGTGTCCGGTGTCTTTAAGGTTGGTTTAGTGATAGGATTTATGCAGGGTTGGTTTGTGGTTTATTTGGGTTTGCTTAGGATTTATTTAGGGTTTATTTACGGTTGGTTTATGGTTTGTTAGGGGTGGTTTAGGGTTTATTTGGGATTGGTTTAGGGATTATTTGCGATTGGTTTAAAGTTGAATTTGGTTTCGCTTGCAACTTATTTAAGGTTCGTTTAGGTTTCGTTTAGGGTTTATGATTTGTTTAGGCTTTATTTAGGATTAGTTTAGGGCTAATTGCGGGTTGGTTCGGACATTACCCGCAAAAAAAACACAATGTGGGGGCCCCCCAATTATAAGTTGGTTTATAAAATTTATAAACCCCATTAAGTTATAAGTACAACAAACCATAGTTATTGGAGTTATGTTCACCAACTTAGCGATTTACCTCACTGGGGCCCCCCAAATTCCATGGCTTCAAAGCTCAATTTACCCATTACTATGGCCCGTCAAAGCAGGTCAATTTACCAAGGCAGATCAAGGTCACGAGCCTTATCCTGCCAGGTGACCGAATAAAACCGGGCAAGTAATATAGGATCCGGAGAAGCGAACTTTTATGGGAGATTACTTCAGAAACTAAATGGAAATTACATCATTAGTGTAGTGTATTGTTTACTTGAAGCCACTTCACAACAAAAACAACTTAAATCAACATGGTTCATGGGTAAAGCACCTCAAATCACAATATTTTTTACATTGCTTCACAACTTAACAACCCTTTGAATCACATGTCTTCATCGCTCAACCCTCCATCAAAAAACTGTCCCATTCGAAAACCACACATCCTTCCAAAAAAAAGGAACACAACTTCAGTTCATCAAACAAAAACAGAAACAGAAATAACAAGTGCCAGTTGAGCAAAAAAAACAGAAATAAACAAGTGCTGAAGTTGAGCAAAAAAAACACATCAAAAAGAGTGCTGAAGTTGAGCCAAAAAAATCGCTGCAGCAAGTTATCCCCCAGCCCATCCCATCCTTCCATCCCATCCGGTCCTTCTTCAAGGGCTTGCGATCCCAGGTTCCAGGACCCATCTTCAAGGCCTTGGCCACCTCTGGGAGCGCCTCCTGGTGGAGAAAGGGGGTAGAATGCTGGAGTTTTTTCATGGGGTTTAAGTGCATCAACAGTGCTGAAGAAGTTTGATTTAACATGATTTCACTATGATTTAACCAAGAAAACATGATTTCACTATGATTTCCCCAAGAAAAGTTGGGATGTCATGGAATTTCCATGGGAATTTCCATAAGGATTTCACTGACCGGTTCACGACCAATTTACATCAATAAAAACTGCATTAGGAATCCCTTCCCCCGATCATCTTCAACACCAGAAAGCATGGTGATCATGGTGGATGCAAGGGATGAAGACTCAGATTCCTTTGGGGCAATTTCAATTTCGGGCGTTGTGATTTTTTTCCATAGGCGGATGGGATTGTTCGAAAATGATCCAAGTCGCCAAGTCGAAAGGCCGCGTTGTTAATTGCCAACTGGAGATCATAGGAAATCATGGTTAATATGGTTAATATATGGTTAATGAATGTTAATAGGAATCTAATTGGTGGTTGAGCCACCCCTCTGAAAAATATGAAGTCAGATTAGTCAGATTGGATCATCATACCAACTATTGGGGAAAAATAACATTCATGTTCCAAACCACCAGCCAGGAATGGAGTTTCGTTGAACAGTTGGTTGCGATGGAGATGACATTGAAGGATTCGAACAGCAACAGTAGAGGCTCCAAAAAATGTCATGGTGGTGCTCATATTACATTTCAAATAGGATACCCCACCAGAAAGTGATACTTTCCAAAATTGGATCCCACCAAAACGATACTCATCATACCAAAAACCTTTGACAAATTCCCAGAGTTCTCGTGGGGAAAAACTTGCAAACAAACCTCCTTCATCACAAAAACATTTTTTCCGTCATCAAAAACAAGTTTCCGTTTTAAAAAAGGAACTGTATTCAAGAAAAAACATGAAAAAACACACATGGTGATCCAATAAGAATCTACTCTTGCCAACTACTACTCTTTAACAACCCTAGCGTTAGCCGATCTACTAGAAATAGCTACTTCTCATGATCTCTGATCTTCAAAATACGCGTCAGAATTATCAAACGTGCTGCAAAGTGCTGAGAGAATTTCCCATTCTTGTTGGTACGAGTAAACTGGACATTTCCCACACCTTTAAGTTCAAGGCACCCAGTAGTCATCATTGCACTTGCCGCGGCGACAATATCGATTCATCTGTCCCAGCACATCGCTAACAGCCTCGAAACGTCCAGTTTTGCTTGTTGGTTTCAACCAGGAACAGTGGCAATTCGCCATCTGGTTGCTGGTTTTTCATGGGTTATTTTTTGAAGTATAGCAATCGTCTAGTCTTTGTTACCCAATTTTTGTAATACAAGAAACGACTTATAGTCAATTGGATTGTCAAAACGAGTAGGGCCTGCAACAACGATTCTGGTATTTTTTAAGCATCCCTCCGGTTTCATCAAAGATGGCTAGCTGGAAAATCCACCAGTTCGTTTGATGATTTCCCAGCAAAGCCTTCATGGATCCGGGGCTTGCCAGCTTACCACCTCTGATTCCAGGGGCTTGTCAAAAAAAAACTCGAAACAGATCTGGAATGTCAAGCACTGGGGAGCAATGTTTAGAGCACTGAGGCATGCTTTTAAAAGCATCATATTGAGTAGGAACTTATCACTTTTGCATACTTTTCCTGCATCTTTTCCACGGGAAGCAACTTGTGAAGCACCATGTTTCCATACAGCGAGGGGACGGGGACCCGCAAAGTCATACTGCTGGTCACTGATGTACATCTGTGCAACTGTCTTCACGTAGACTAGCCGTTTTGTCTCCGAAAAATAGACATCAATGACATCAATAAACAACCAACCATAACTAAGCATGTCCGGTTGGTGGTTTCAATCCCTCTGAAAAATATGAAAGTCACTTGGGATGATGATTCCCAATATATGGGAAAATAAAAGCCATGTTCCAAACCACCAACCAGATGTAATATGAGTATGGGTCGAAGCCCTGTACTCCTGGTGAACATCAACATTAATATAGCCATTGAATGGGTGTTCGTTCCCAGCAACAGTATCATAGATTTTCAACCATCCCCATGCAAACATTTTCCTTCGCAACATAGACTAGAGCCATTCTCAGAGTCTGTAACGGCCTTTTTTTGGGGGGGGATGGTCCATTTTGAGAAGTTCAATTTCCAGGAAATTCTCTGGTTAAATCCCTAGCTTTTATGCTTCATTTACCCTCTGGTAAACTAACATAACTATTGAAAATCACAATTTTTAATGGGAAAACTCACTATAAATGGCCATTTTCAATAGCTATGTTAGTTTACCAGAGGGTATCATTTCTTGAGCTGCTCAAATCACATCACTTGTTTCCCGGCTGAAAAATCCCCTAATTTCAGTGAAACTCTCAAAAAGCTGAGTTCAATCACAATCATAAAAAACACCTCCCGGTTGACTCCCGAACTATTCTCACCCTCAACCCGAACTGCCAGGCGGCAATGGGCTTGCCCGCCCGCGCATCTGCCAGGCTATTCACCACTTCATCACCCATCCCACCACCGCCTAGGGCAGAGTTCAGCGTCTCAGGGCAGCGAAGGCAACGAAAAACACATTAAAGGGTCATATATCATACAAGGTGGTGCCCCATAGTTAGCTAAGTTGGTGAACATAACTCCAATTTCACTATGGTTTTTGTTGGTGATATATCTATAGTTAATGGGGTTTATAAACCAACTTATAACTGGGGGGCACCACCTTGTATGTGGTCAAACCACCCACAACTTTGATAGTGGGCTTGTCTGAAAAAAAGGTACCCCATTTCATCCACTGGTTCATCAAAGTCTCCATCAACATCGTCATTTTGGGACTATCCCGGACTATCCCCCATTTCAGACAAATCCAAGCACAAGAGCCGGGATGGTCGCCCCTGAGATTATCCAAAACATGCCATGTCTTTTTGGAATACTTATGGGCACCTCTAAATTCCGAGGGTTCCAACATCATGTTTCCTATATCCCGATCTTAAAAAAATGTCCAAATTGTGCAGTGAAATTATACTATTTTTTTTCTACAAACCGCATGCATGATTCATGATGGTTTTGGGGTAGCTATCGCACATGTATTTTCTAAAAACTTGGGAACAACCTGCCATAATCTGCCATAGCGTCCCAGGTGTGTCCTATCCCTGTACACATCTCGTTTAATCCTTTGTGTTCTTACTGATCTATGGCTAATCTTGCGGAATCTTGGATACCCTCTTCCATGTGATTTGTGTTTATTAATTTTCACCCATCTATATATGTATGGCTGAACATTTGAACCATTAAACTACACAACCAGCGTTTACCCAGACAATACCAAATGATTATCCTGATTCTTACAGTTTATATGCTTCATTCTCAATCGCTGTTGCAGCACATGAACCCAAGCAATCGTTACCCATAGCATGTATCCCCGCAACCAGTGGGATTCAGTATGTATGTATATATATATATATATATGTATATGTAATCCTTTTGAAACCCTAAGGGTGAATAACCCCCTATTAATTTAAACCAACTTTTTTTTGGGAGGCTAATCCTATATTAATCCTTACTTGGTCCATGTGAAATACCAACACACTTCGGATTGAATATGATTGAACTATATTCAAACATCTTTAGTTACTGTGTGTATATATATATATATATGGAGGTTTCCCAAAGTCCTGGGGCCACCCCCACTCAGTCCCCATGGATCCCTCCGGAATTGGCCTGCAGCGTCTCCATAGAGCGCTTTGCGCAGGAAGTCGTCCAAAATCGGGATGTTGATTTGGTTGTAACGGCAATATCCTGCGGGCCAGACAAAGCAACGGTTTCCAAAACGAGGCTCTGAGCATAGTAGAGTGAGCATGCTGGTGAAACATATGGTGATTTTTTACGAACAACTAGGGCTTCCACGAATGAAAAGTACTAGCATTTGTTTATAGGATTATAGGGATCCTGATGATAGACCATGGGTTTTTGTGGGATGAATTTGGGATAAACATGTCGAGAGCAGTGGGGAAGGCTACCGGAGAGCAGTGGGTCATTTGAGCCATGGGCCTGTACTGCTGGGTTTAAAACCATTTCATATAGGGATTGCTGGTGCTTCCACCATCAAAACTGTGGGAGATAGGTAGCTTACACAACCAACAAAAAGCCAACAACACGGGGATTCTTAGCAACTCCCAGAATGATGGCCACAGTCCTATTCCCGCGGCGATGGCAAGAAACAGCAGATTGCCAAACTCAGATGGAGAATCACCATGAATCATGGATGATCATTCTATGATATAAACCGGTGGCTATCTGATTGTTTGGGTTGGTGGCTTGTTTTTTTTTGAGTACTTCATACTGACAACCCCGGTTGAGTTTCGAGGATTCGAAAGCAGATCAGGCCACCTGGATTCGGATTTTCTCTCTGGATCAGGTCTGAAACAGAACACACAAACTACGATCGTAACCTCAAAGTACTTTCCCGCATCTGTGTACAGTATACAATTGTATACATAGTATATTCTTCTCTGTACAACTCTGTTGATAAAATCTATCCATGGTCAAAGACGTACTTCTGTGAAGAGCTGTGCATGAAAGCCTGCTACTCAGCCTTCGGATAGCCTAAACTTACCCAACTGCTGTGGTGGCTTTAAGTCCGCTGAAAACAACAAGTCACTTGGGAACATAAAAATGCCAAATACCATCATGTGGTTGGGAAACTCGATTCGTAGCTGTCCATTTTTGAATAGGGAATATGGATGCAACCATAGCTCCCTTCACTGCTCCCTCCATTCACCACAGAATACTATACAGCTATCGGTATGGGGATGTATGGGTATGCGCCCATTCATGGTCCTCAAATAGTTGGGGGGAAATTATGTTTTGTTTACTAGTGGATGAAATGTTTCTCCCCGTCATTTTCGGATACCATACGACCCCCTATACGTATGTACCAACATGGGACAGTTGTTATTTGGTACTACATGGTACTACCTTACACCGACTGGGGCTGGGGGTCCAAACGATTTAGATTCCAGATTCTTGCTGTTTCTTATTCTGCCATGCTAGTTAATTCAACATCAAATGATGTGGTAAACCATCCCCAAGGGCTGTGCCATCCCTAGAAAATGAGTCCAAAAAACCTCCGCAGCGCCCGCCGAAAATCGACTCCGGCAGTCCAAGGGGCGTCAAAGAAACCGCCCTTGGCCTCCGCCTTCTTTTTGCCAGCTTTTCCCATGGCCCTGTCGAAGTCAAAGGCCCCAAGTTGGATGGGGTGCCGTTCTGGACCCACCAACGGCAGGCTTTGTTTAAGAATCACCCAAGTAAACTAACAATAAAGGTTTTGCAATTGATCTGGGGTCTGTGGAAATGGATTCTTGGGTCTTTCAAATTTAATATATGGTGGTATTGAATTGTATTACAGATACCTTATTATAACTAGCTATGGAACATATCCATTTGTTATAGTTCAATCATCGAACTACATGAACCATATGGTTTCCATAGAAAACAGTCACATTTCCAAACGGTAACTCATCCATGTTGGATGTCCCTGGCTCGGCTTAGCCCTGGCCCAAGAGCTGCCGTTGGATCCCCCATAAAACCCGACAAGACCCGGTCGCCTGGGACGCAGCGCAGCCGCAAGGTTTGAAAAAAACCGATGCGCTTGATCCGAAGGGCAAAGGGATCAAAGGGACAGGCTCTGTTGAACTCTGGTTGCGAGGGTTACTCCGCAAAATAGTGATCAGTTTCTGTTATAAGTGATATCGAATGATATCGAGGTATCCCCCCTAGTAGCCTTGGATTATGTTTCTCCTGAACCTTGACCCAACTTTGATGATCACAAAGTAGGGCCCTGGGTATTAACCAGTGGGCCGAAAATGGTTCACAGATGTGGAAACATGTGGTGCCTCCCATCTAGTTGGTTTAAAACCCACTTCAATGAGATCAAATGGGATTTCATGGGGATTTTATGGAGGTGGTTAAAGGTGCTAGCTAGTTCGTTAGCTAAATTGATTGTGATGCTACCCCAATGTTTAAACTTGTTCCTTTAATATCTACCAGAAACCCAACAGTTACCAAATATAGTATAATACATGTATATGTACATATATAATATGTGTGAGCCATGAACATAGCCCTGTCTCATCCCATTATACTGGTTGGTAGTAAATATTCATATGAAATGGGTTAGAAGAATACATAATCACCAATAAACAAGTTTAGGTTACTAACTCCAAATTCATTAACCCATCAACAAAGGAATCAACAATTCGTTCGTAAATGGGCTCTCATTGCATTATGGTTCTAAACAGTTGTATGAGTTCCCTTTGAACAAATGACATTCATGTTTATTAAACACGATTAGTTTCATACAATAGTTCCCTAAACATTTCCCATATTAAGTTTCAATTGCACTTAGTAGAAAAGTAGTTTAAACATTCATAGGAAACTAATAGTGGTCAACTGCACATAGTATCACATTAATTTCAACCCTATTGCTCATCTTGGCTTATGTTTTAATAATCCCCAAGAAACCACTTAGTATACCAGTATACCATCTGGTAAACAAACATAACTATTGAAAATGGTCAGTTATAGTTGATTTACATATGTAAAAGGCTGATGCTCCACAGTTGTTTGTAAGTTTACCAAAGGGAAACCCGTCATATTAACCCATCAAGCGCTATCTTTAAAGGCTCACAACGCGCCCAACGCGGGCGTTACGAGGTCGCACCTCGTTGACCTCCAGCTGCATGTCCAGGTCGTCTAAGGAGCCCTCAGAAAATCATGGGATCCGTGGGGATTTACCATGAACGAAACTCGAAACACCGAAACTCGACAAAATCCTTGGGAAACTATCGTTGCCAATCTTAGATACCCTGCATAAAACTAGTTTTTTTGGTGATGAGTACCACTAGTAGATAATCCCATTAATACCAAAAGACTAAAGGACTAAAGTATCCATGTAAGATTGACCTAGCTATGATCATTGGGAAAATCACATAGTTTCTATAACTGGTGTTTTGACTTTAGATCATACATCTGGCGTTGAACTGCGAAAGATAGGTGTTAAATTCCATCAGAAATGTGGGATTTAAAATTGGGTTTGCTACCTGAATCAAGATTCCCCGACTTGTGGTCCTTTTATTCATATGCAAATGGGAAAAAATGGGAAAATGATGATTAACTAGTGAGTTTCGGGGTCCTCTTGAGACATAATTCTGAGGCCGCTTCACCCTGGTCATGGGTCCACCCTGGTCAGTGGCTTAAGAATTAAACAAAAAAGCAGCAGAATCTTTATATCACACATATAACACATATATATATATTATATATATATATATGGGAACAAATGATCATTTACCTAGCTGGAATAAGGTCTTCCTTTCTCTTTCATCACGAGGTCATTCCCCCAGCTGCGAAATTCTTCGTTCTCCAAGGTCATCTTGGGGTAGTTACCCCCGACCATCACAGTGACATACATTGTTCTCCAGTCACTTGGGATTATAAATGGATATACATTATATATATACATTATATATACATTATATATACATTATATATACATTATATATACATTATATATACATTATATATACATTATATATACATTTTATATACATTATATATACATTATATATACATTATATATACATTATATATACATTATATATACATTATATATACATTATATACATTATATAATGGATTCCAAATGATTTGTCTCCGAAGTCACCATCATCCAGCTATCATGATGATCAGGGTGGCAATCTACTCATGAAATATCTGCATACCCAGTGACGGGTGAATCCCTGTTTTTTGTAACAACCCGTTTTGGTGGGCTGTGATAATCCCCCATGTTACAATGGCCAGGATGGATTGCCGGCATAACTAGCGAAGAGATCCACAGAGAAGCCAAGAGAAGATCAACGCGGACAACGAAAAGGTTTAAACCCTATGAGCAGTGTTCAAACCCTATGATCAAAGCAGTGTTTAGACCCTATTATAGTACTGTTTAAACATGTTTAAACCAATCCCGGATTTCGATCGTCTGAGCAGTGTTCAAACCCTCTGTCATTCGATGGTGGCTGAAGGGTTCCCAGATGATCCCCAGTCAACGTGTTGCCCAAAGGAATGCAAAGACCAGGCCATCTGCTGCGTCCATTGGAACAGTATCAGCGCCTGTCATGAACCAACCATAATCTGTTATAACACTGTTATAACCATTATATCATACACACATGATTCATGATGTCCCCATTATTCATTATACCGTCACAAAATGATAATGATCAGGAACCAGCCATCACTTGCACATTACATTTCCATATGTGCTGCTTAGAATCTGTATCTTGATGGGCAACACCCAAATTCTCAGCAAGCAACCATCATTGGTTCATCATACAACCATTATTTTGATAGGGAAATCAAGTTCAACCATAAGTTTTACATAGTTAGACTATATGTTTAATAGTTATATAACCGATGATTTCCCCATATATTTGGTATTTAAAGCAACTTCAACAATCCCCATAATCATAAAACGCCATGGTCAATCTTTGGCAGTCCACAAAAAAAACATCTATTGCTGGTTATGGATGGTTATTTTCCATGTTTGTTTTCAAACAACGAAAGGTTTAACTCATTCTCCAAGCTTTCGGACCCCTTCACTCGACGCGACAGGCAAACCTGTGGGGCATGATGGGGCATGATGTCTATATCTGGTTGAATTATGGGTAAGCTCCTATATACGTATATATATATATATATGTATATATATATACATACATACATACATAAATATATATATATATATATCACGTCCAAAATTTACAATTAGATGGTGAATCTTAGATACCTGTCTCAAATTCAACATTTTTTTGGCTGGCTAGTACATTTTACCATTGATAGCAAAACATGAAAGTAGTAACTGGACTCATGACACTTCAATAACCTGAAATGGATCATGGGAGATTGTGTGATGTATCGGTGATCTTGGGGATGTGGAAACATCCATGACAATACTTCTGTATACTTCTGTAATACCTGAAACAAGAAGTGTACCCCATACATTGGTATGTTCAGGGAGCTTATGTATATGTATACTTCGGTATACCCCCGGTACACATCATCATACATGTTCTTTTTGAGAGACTTACCCCAATCCTAACCATCACTCCAATGGGTTCGTTATCACCTTGATCCTTGATGTAAATCGTGGTTCGCCATCCACCGTGGTCTCCGAATAGCCCGGCTCACAATGGTGGACACCGGACACGATGCCACTCAAACAGCTTACGGGTCTGGATGATGTGCAGTACATCACAAACCACATGTTATGTGTTATCTTCATATTTGATGGGGATTTGCTTGGATGATGTCCCTTCGCTAGCCACGGTGCCCGCTTGCCCGACAGGTTATAGCTGGTGGATGTTTATTTCTCTAGTCATATAAAGGCATATGGTTCATGGATGGTTAATGGATGTTTATTCCTATAGCTGGTTAATGGATGATTAATGGATGTTAAACATGTACCCTCTGGTAAACTTTCACATAACTATTGAACATCACCATTTTTAATGGGTAAATCAACTATAAATGGCCATTTTCAATAGCAAACTGTTAGTTTACCAGAGGGTAATTTTCACAGGCTTTGACCCATCCAAAATTCAAACGATTGTTCCTCGTGCCCAGTGGCCCACGCCCGCACCTACGATCCAGTTCTTCAAACTCCCAGCCCAGCTATGCCTGCGGAGAAAGAAAGTGACCAGCGACAAGTCTCTGGCGAGATCAGCAAACAAAAATCACTTTCAATTCGTATCATGTAATTTTTTTGGCTCGAAAACCTGCTGCAGTTCACACCAAAAGCTGACGCTGATCCTGACAGACATTTCATCCCGCAAAAGCATTGTGCCATATGGACGCATCCACTGAGTATAACAAATGTTCTTGATTTACATCGGCTGTTGTCTGGTGTTCAAATGACAATTTCTGAGGGCAACGATGGCAATGTCTTTTTGGGTTTTCTGGCTGTTGGTGAACCACCCAGCAACTACTGGGATTTGTCCCAAACATCCAGAAAATCAGATAGCCTCCGGTCATTTACCCTCTGGTAAACGTTTACAAAAAACTATGGGTAAATCACCATTTTTGATAGGAAAATACAATTTTTTTTTGGGTAAATCACCATTTTTGATGGGTATATAAATCACCATTTTTCATGGGTAAACCGGTAAACCAACTATTTCTATGGCCAATGGGCCATGGCTTCCATAGCTATGTTAGTCATTACCAGGGAGTAACATAGCAATGGAACGCCCAGATGATAAAAATCCACGGTGTTGCTGTGCTGCTGTTCCAGTTCAAAACAAATCAGTCCCGAAAATGGCCCAGGTTCAAGCCACCTTTATGGATCATCTTGAGGCAACACATTCACATATATATATATATATATATATATCCCAAATGCTCCATGTATGGAATATTTACCTACATTTACCCCAAAAATGGCACAAATGTAGGTAAATATTCCATACATAGAGCATATGGGTATATATATCTGGGTAAATTATAATATTTCACTGACCTGAAATGTTGGGCCATTTGGGGATAGTCACCCCTACTAGCCATCATTCCCAGTGA